TATATATATATATATATATGTGGAAAACTAAAAGATGCATGCAGAGTCTACCGGTCACCATGCACTCCATAAAACAGACACAATGTTCACCAACAGGAGAAGGAAAAAAAAAAATAAAGAGACAGCCAAGAAACATTAGAAAGACAGAAAAGATCAAGAGATCGAAAAAATACAACAGGAATGCTTCATATAAAAGCTTTTCACCTCATTGTGCTATTTATACTATTTCTTCCCACAGGCAAGTTTTTTCTAGAGCAGACAGTGCAGAGAGGACAATAACCATCAAAAAAAAAAAAAAAATTCAAAGCATGTTATGGGGTAATATAAAATGCTCTAAGCAGGCCATTAAAAAGGAGCTGAAGGAATTTTTTTTAAAATTATTAAAGCACATTAACGTACGCACAACCCAATCATATGGTTCCTATTACAAAGGAGCTTTAGGACAGGCTACATCACAAACAGAGGACCAAGTAAAGACAAAAATATTGACACACTCCTTTTGCTCTGAACTATCTTCATGGCAGAGTGAATCATGCTTCCTCATCTCTTTTAATATAAGGAGAGATGCCACAGCAGATGTACATGCATCAACTAATACTGAAGAGCAAGAAGTAACACATTAATGTCTTCTAAATCTCTATTCAAGAGAAGGAATAGCGTGAATTTCTTCACAAGTTTGTAAATTACAAGTCCCTACACAGATCTTAAAAGGCCTCACAATGACTGACTCATCTCCTTTCCCTCCTGCTCTTCAAGAAGCATAGCTACCTACTTTCTTACTTGTCAAACCCTGCACTCAGTCACAAGCAAAAAAACATCTAGGACATGACATTACGTTTTCTGACAGCTGTCAATCATTCAATTTCTAATAGTCATCGAGCATTATCATTGCAAACTAAGCACGGTATTTCCTCATAAAGGGACAGCAGTAGGTAAAAACAGGTCAAACCAAGTTTCAGAATCCTACTAAAAATGTCGAAGGAAATGGCTGCTTCACAACCAGCCCATTGAACAGCCCAGCAGCTAATCAAAATCAGTCTGTACTATAAGACAACACAGCGGAAAACCATTTTAGCATGAATTTACTCTTTTGTAGAAAAGTGTTTCAGGCTAACTAAATTATTACAGAATGAGAAAAAGAAGTATTTCTACTCTAACTGAAGCAGACTTCCTATTTCTAAAGTAAGTATACAGTATGTATATAAAATGTAGTTCAGGAATACACAGTAAGGAATTTATCTGCAACTACTTTAGGGCAACAGGAATGCAACTCATCAAACAAACAATAAAATACATGCAAGAAGCCAAGATCAATGCATTTAGGTGGATTGCTTGGCTTGACATGAGTCAGAGACATCCTCTACAATTACAACTCAACATTACACACCATTACCTTGTATGCTAAGTACAGCATAGTATCTCTGGAATGAATTTTACTTGCTAGTTTCCACTAAATGCATTAACTGCCATACTGTAATGGGATGGAGGGGGAAATGCAGTGGATGCTTAATTCATTTCAGGTCAAGCCAATTCCCAATAGAAAAAAATATATATCTACGCAGAGGCATCTTGTTACCAGGTAAAACTTGCTGCCTTTCTACCAAAAGTCTTCTCAAATGAATGTTATAAACACTGGGGAAGCCTCTCCCCACAGGTGCTAAACAGACCTGGAAATGGGCATTATGAACTACGCTACTGAAGTAAACACATCTACAACTCCGTGTTCTGAAAATTGCAATCACCGGGCAAAACACGTAACTCGTAACCACTATGCCGATGCACCTTCCCCACCTTACCTCTCTTTGTCCTTTCTACACCGATTATTTTCCACTTTTACCTTTTCACAAGTACTGCAAATTTTAAGACCAAATAAGACAGTAAATGCTTACAGCATCACCTTTTAAGGGACACTAAAGCCCAAAAATGCTTTTATAGAAAGGCTTTCTACGGATTCATATGTACTGTCAACATTTATTTATTTTTGAAATTTATTTCTGTATTCTTGTAACAACTCAAGATCCTGCAACATACCTAGCTACTTTCATGACTGAATAAATGGAACCTACTATATTAAAACAAAAGCCACAGAATAGCAGCTTCTGTCCCAGCATGTTTTATTCTTCTTACGATCATTTAGACATCGGCTAAGCTGAGTTTCAATATATTATACTTCATAAAACTAACCTTTAACAAACAACTTTATTCACAGTTCTGAAAAATTTAATATTGATACAAGAGGTTTTATACTAAAATTAATTCTACTAAATTACATGTGAGAGGAAAAGAATATGAGACATTCTCTTACCTTTTCAGTTGTTGGAGTTACTGGCTTTGACACAAAACCCAGTCTATCCTTCACAGATAATTTAGTCACATTCTAAGAAAACAAAAAAAAATTATAGTTCAAATATACTTTACTTTATGAATATTTTACTGTTTCCTGTGTAATCCAAATGTTATGAATTTAGAAAAAATACATTTAACTAATAAAACCATAGACTTTTAAGCAACAAGACAAATAATATTAAAGCAGATGATAAAATGAATTTCAGGTATTTATTAGGTTAATATAGATCTATAAAATGTATTAGATAAGACAAAGATAGAGCCAAATTGGGAATCCAAGATTATACTATGTATTTTTTTTCCAGAAGTCCATGACATGCTACCTGGCAGGGGATTATCTACACAGGCCCTTTTAAATACACTTCTGGTTTTGTGTTTTCTAATCTGCTATCCGCAGGCATCAGTTGCAGAAAGTTGTCGTTCGAATTTAAACTACAAATGTTTTCTGAAGTGTGCTACTCTTTCTTTTCAGAAGTAAAACCAAAGTACCGCCACAATGCTAATAATTAAATACTTCCAACATAATAAAAATTTAAAGGCTGTTTTCAATGGGAGTAACATGCCAGATTCTGTTGTTATTCATATTGCTACTGTGGTTATGTTCTTCCTTGTATTAAGGGTGATGTACAAATACTGAAAACGCTTTTAGATGCTGACCATTGGTTTTTAATGATTTTAGCTGTTTAACAGATACAATATCAAAAAAATGATAGCTTTTAGTTCTTTGGATAGAAACCAGCTTTATTTTCAAATCTGAAAACTGCAATTTAAGACAATATTTGTGAAATATTTTCAGAGTCTTTTGGGTTTTTTTAAAACTAAATAAAAAACTATGATATTAAAAATTAAGTATCATGCTTGCATAAGAAAGTCAAATATCATCGCATCGAGGAAAACTTTAATATCAAAATACCACTCACAATCAAATTAGATATACTTACAAGTAGCAAATGAGTACTTGCACTACATAACTGTAATGGATAAATTCATACACTATAGAACCTATTACAGAAAGAAAAACACGCAACTGATTTTTTGACTATCATACATACCTGAGTGACTTCTGTATTGGCGCTCTGTGCTTCTGCAGGTTCAATATTACTTGCAGGTACCGGACCTAATCGCTCCTTGACTGATTGTTTCACTACTGGTAAACTAGGTTGCTGAACTAAGGGTTGTATTACCTGTAACACCACCCCATCCCCAAAAAAGCACATCATAATATTAACAACAAAAGGCTGCTACATATGTAGTTCAATACGCAATAAAATTGCTTCAATGGCATTTAGATTTACACTTCTTCCTTTCTATCATTCCATAGCTTTTTCATCTGATGGTAAAAATAAACACTTCATGAGATTTAGGATTCATTCTATTTCTGTAACACATACAGCAATTACATCTATCTTGCACTTGCTGCTCACAGAAGTGATCAGACAATTCTGGTCTATTTCTATTAACCATGTCTACTTAGACTATCTTAATTTCTTAATTTCGTTAGAAATAAAATAGAAAT